TTCGCGAGAGCTTTGACACTTTCCGAGGCGAGAAGAGCGAGACAAGTGAGAAGGACGATATCATCGCTGCGCTTCGCGAGCATCTCGACAGCTTCCGTGGTGAGCGCACCGATAAGGACGAAATTATTGCCGCTTTGCGGGAGAACCTTGAGACTTTCCGTGACGAGGGCAGTCGTTCGCGGGACCTTGGCGAAACTGAGTTCTCAACTGGTGACCTGATTGACGTCTTCAACGATGGTGTTGGTAATATTCGGGATGACCTGGGCAAACTTCTGGAAAGACCAGTCGAGTTCGATTACAACGAGCTTCTTGACACTCTGAAGGAAGGGCTTAGCAGCCTCAAAGCTGATGTTGAGATGCTGCGCAAGTCCCAGCTGGACGCAGAAGACGTGACCACGACCAGAGGTGGAGAGCTGATGCTTGCCAGTCAAGCCAACCAACCTGCCCCATACAATCAACCCGACATTAGCAACGACATGGAAGCGCTCAAATCTCTCATTTCCCAGCTCCAAACAAAGGTTGAAGCCATCGAATCCGCACCGCGTGCCGCTGAACCAGCCACAGACGCTCTCAAGAAAGAACATCTGGATGAGGTCCTTGCAGGCCTACACGAACTCCAGGGTTCCGTCACGGGCATTGTGGCGCGTGAGAACCCTCCAGATGAGACCACGGCCAAGAAGGAGGACACGGACGCGATCGAGACGTTGTTGCGGAGTACGAAAGCTCAGCTCGACGAGATGAAGTTCCCCGCTGCGGACGAGCTAGCAAGAGCCGAGCAGCTTGGCAGCTTGGAAACTATAGTCAAGGAGACGAAGGAAGCCCTCTTCGAACTAAGCACTCGCTTGGAAGCTGAGGGCCCGACCAAGTCCGAGATCGGTACTCTGGAGACTCTTATGAAGGATATGTGGCTTGCCCTCGACGAGTTGAAAGGCAAAAGCCCAGAAGGCGGGAGCGACACTGAGAAATTGGTCAAGGCTGACCTGCAGACAGTAGAGGCCATGATATTCGAAGTGAAGACCCAACTCGACGAGTTCAAGCTTCCCGACCCAGAGACCTTGCCTACCAAGACCGAGGTTCAGGATCTATCAGCCCTGGTCACCGAGTTCAGGGAGAAGGTGGAGGCTGAAAATGAATTGACAGCCCAAGGATTCGAGGCCCGCAAAGTCGAACACGCCGGTCTCGCCGAGAAGATCGAGGAGGCCAAGGCTGTGGTCGAAGGACTTGGCGATGAGCTCAAGAGCAAACTGGATGGAAGCAGTGAGGGTCTCTCTGAGCTGAAGCAGCTTCTGGAAGGCTTAGCAGTCTCTGCAGAGAGTTTTACGACAGTCGAAAATGTTAAGGAGCTCACAGAACTCATCAATCGCGAGTTCGAGCGGGCACGCGGTGAACAGGACGCGCACAAGCTCGAAAAGGAGGAGCGCGACGCCGCTTCCCTTGTCAAACAGGATGAGACCAGAGCGGCTATCATCGTGGAACTTGGAGCCAAGATCGACGAGAAACTGGGCGAAGTCATGGCTAAATATGATGACATGCAGACTGCGATGGATACTAAATTCTCTGAGTCTGTTGAACGTGACAATGCCCACCTTGAAGCCGCTACTAACACTAAATCCCTCGCGGAGGACATCAAGCTTGTTATCGGTACCATGGGCGACAGCGTCAATGAGGCCTGTGAGCGCATCAGTGAGGATACCAAGTCTTTCCTGGAGAAGGTCGATGTTTCCTATAACAAGATGGAAGAGATGCACAATGAAGTAAAGACCCAGCAGGAACAGGCCCGGTCTGACATTGAGCGGGCTGCAGCTGCAACGGATCGTGTGGAAAGCAAGCTGCACGAGTTCCACCCACAAGTCTTGGAGTCTATCCAGGAGATTCTCAACATTGTCGGACAGCATTACGATCACTCGCAGAAGTCGGCTGAGGCTATCAAGACGGACCTGTCTGCTCTTCCTTCGACTATTCCCCAGATGCTCCCCGCTTTGCCACCCCCAGAGCCCGAAAAGTACGATGACAGCAAGGTCCAGGAGAAGCTGGACAACCTATTGCATCATGCGAAAAATGAAAAGGTGCAGGAGGCCCTCAACATTCTGGTTGAGCGGGTGACAAACGACCAAGTGCACGAGAAACTTGACCAGCTCCTCAGCCAGACTACTAGCACGAATAGTCAGATGTATGACAAGTTGGATGAGCTGCTCAACCACGCTGCGGAGAATAACGGGCCAATCCACGATAAGCTCGATACCATCATCGATCATGCAACAAATACCGACCAGTCCGTCACGCAGATGATGAAGCTGGACGAGATGCACAAGGATATTATGGAGACGTCCCGCAAGATGACCGAGATGTTTGCAGCTCAGTCCGCAATCGTGGCTGAAGATAACGAACGCAAACGCCGCGAGGCGGAAGAGGCTGCGGTTGCTCTCGAGCGGCGAAACGCACAGAAAGAGCAAGTAGAATCCGAGATCGTCGACCTCAAGGATGAGAAGGAATCTCTTCTGAAGATGATCCAGACCCTGAAGGCCGAGAAGGAGGACCTTGTTAAGCAGACTACGAAACTCGGAAAGGAGCTGTCCAGCTTGGAGATGGCTCTGGAGCTCCGTCACGAGGAGATGCAGGTCATGGAGGATCGCGCAGACAGCCTCGAGAAGCGCATCTTGGAAGGTGTTCTCGACCACGCTCGTAGCGTTTTGCTTAGCCGGCCCAACAATGGTCTGAACATGAAGAAGTCGCGGGGCTCCCGGGCTCGCGGCCCTAGTGCTGCTAGCACTTCAAGCACCGCACGGGAGGCTCGGAATATCTTGAACAACAGTGTTAGTATGGCATTAAGGAAGCGGTCTCAGGCACAGTCCCAGGCCGGGGCTGCTACTCCGACGAAGGACGGTAAGGAGAGACGGATCCTCAGTTTGAGTAACATGACCGGCAACCGCGGACCTACCGATCGCCAGTCTAGTGTCGGCAGCGGGTTTGCCAGCTTGAAGCGCAGTCACTCTGTGAAGTCCAACGTCTCCGACCGGAAGTCTTCCTGGGGTGGCAGAAGCTCCATGGTGAACAAAGAGAATGAGGTGTTCCCCGAGGAGGACGAGAACCGCAGTGACATTGAAAGCGACGTTGGTACAGAGCGAAAAACAAGCTACGCCAGCAGTATAAAGTACGGGGCAGGTAGCACCGTGTCTAATGATCGACGGATGAGTGGCTCTAGCACCGCCACTGAGATCGTTGGCAAGGGCTCAGTTGCCGATGATGGGGACGGTGCTTCGGAGACACTTGACGATCCTAAGGCCGACGATCCCGAACTAGACTCCGAGTCATCCAAAATGGTGCTTTACGGACAACATAGCGACAGTGGGATTGGTGTTGCGAGCGTCGCGGGATAGCTTCAGGTGATGGCCTGATTGATGTTTTGACCTATGATCATGTGCAGTCTGATATGGATTCTTGAGATACCACCGACGGACGGTTCCGCCGGACAAGTTCCAGCAATGTTTAGAGTTGTTCTAGACTCGTCTCCTTTGTACTTTTCCTTTGTTGATAGTTTTGTTTAGCTTGAATGCATATGATGTCTATTCTTGTTTAGCGATAGATACATTACAATAATATATTTATGATCGTACTTTGCTTGTGTCCCTTGCACTACTTTAGTCCAAACTTTCTAGGCACGTAATAAAACTCCATTTCAGACGAATATCTCTGTTCTGCTGACTAGGTCTTGCCTCATCCTTAACCATGTTTCCCCTCGCGGATATCCACATGATAGGCTTCGGCCGTGATGTCAAGACTCTTGGGATAGAATTTGCCGGAGCATAAAGCATGCAACATTGACTCATGGGAATGGGTGATACGCGTGTTTCTCGAGTAAGATAGGCCAAACTGTGGTCCATGATAGCACTCATATAGCCCTAAAAACAGTATATTCTTGGACATCTAGACCGCTCAGCTGCATTCTGGAAACATAAACTAGTGCAGTCGATCAGGGCCAGTGATCCAATCACGAGGCCCGGGGCGATCAGCAGGCGCTGAGTCAGCCTCCCCAACGGTTTCGTCCCAACTGGCAGCCCCACGAATCAGGCATCCGCAAGGCACGCGAGCAACCGCGGCATTTCATTAGTTTATCCATCACTACAGATGCATAAATGACCTTCTCCTCACCTCAGCTCGAGACCATGGCTGGCCTGGGGTCTCTCTAGACACCGCCGTTTGAAGAATACCCCCCTGATTCACTTCGACTTTTCTCTCTCCGTCTAATCCAGTATTTCAGCTCACGGCTGTTATACTGGAGCCCCTCAAGCTCATCCAACTCTCTCCGACATACACTACATCATCTACCGACTAGGCACCGATAATAACCCTACCCTCCAACTGCTCTCACTCCCCTCGTCGCCAACGCCGCCAACGCCGGCATGTTGGACCCCTTCCCCCCTCCACCAGCATGGCTCCGAGACCGCGTCGAGCCCTGGGCCCTTTATCTCAACGTCCCCGCCCTCTCAGACCACATCCATGAAGTCATCATCGCTTTCGCCGGCTACCAGTTCATCCACTCCTTCCTCTCGCCATGGCTCTCCCCTATCCTGTTCCCCCGCCACTATCCACAGCTGAACAAACGCACCAAGCTCAATTGGGACGTCCATGTCGTCTCCCTCGTCCAGAGCGTGCTCATCAACGCCCTCGCCCTGTACATCATGTTCTTCGACAAAGAACGCAAGAACATGGATACCGGAGAGCGTATCTACGGATACACGGGCATGTGCGGACTCCTCGAGGCCCTGGCAGAGGGATACTTCGTCTACGATATTATAGTCAGCACGATGCATATTAGAATGTTTGGCGTAGGCATGTTATTCCATGCTATTAGTGCCTTGTGGGTGTTTAGTTTTGGGTTTGTATGTCTTCCAAACCCCCCCCCCCCCCCAAATTCCATATCCGATATAACAAAGAAACTCCTCCTCTCCTACCCCGCAGAACCACCCTACAATACCTCAACTCTACTTTCCCACTCTCTACCAACACACCAACCCATATATCAAGCAAGAAAAGAGAAACTAACAAAACCTCCCCAGAGACCCTTCGTAAACTTCTACTCTCCAACATTCATCCTCTACGAACTCTCCTCCCCATTCCTCAACATCCACTGGTTCCTGGATAAACTAAACCTAACCGGCTCCAAACTCCAATGGTACAACGGCATGCTGCTCCTCTCCGTCTTCTTCTCCTGCCGCCTCGTCTGGGGAACCTGGCAATCCATCCACGTTTATAAAGACATGTGGTTCGCCCTAACCCAGACCTGGTCTCTATCTCCCCTTGCGGGAGGATCCTCCGTGGGCCTGGACAGCGCCATTAACAGCGCCGTCTTCGGACACAGGGCCAAGCTTGCAGAACAGTGCGTCGATGAGGTCTGTAAGAGGGCGAATGGGGAGGTGTTCAAGTATGCCGGGTTCACAGCGGGGGGTGTCCCGACGTGGCTTGTGGGGACTTATGTTGCGGCGAATGTGGTGTTGAATTCGTTGAATTATTATTGGTTTTCGAAGATGGTGGAGACGGTGTTGAAGAGGTTCAGGGGGCCGAAGGAGGGTGGCGCGAAGAAGAATGGGGACGGGGAGAAAAAGGAGGAGGCGGTTGAGGAGGTTGTTGAGAAGGTTGTGCTTGAGGCTGCTGCTTCGCTTGAGGAGGAAGAGGGGAGTCCGTTTCTTGGGGAGGGGGTTGCGAATGATGTTGATGTTCGGGGTGATGTGAGGAGAAGGAGGTAGTGCTGAGTTAGGGTTTGGGTGCGGGGAGATGTTGTAGAGGGTAGATAAATGGGGGTTGCGCATTATGGATCGGTACTTGGTATATGGTTATTTGTATTCATCCGTTCGGGCTGGGGGCTTGAAGGTTGTTTATTTACATCGAACTTATGTTGCTTTCTGATCAGATATAAAGAGTTTCATTAAATTCATCTTACTATATCCAAGTATATAGTAGATTCATTGAATTCACATCCGAATACATACTTAAAACTAATGGGTACATAACACTCCCAACCAAACACCGCATGAGCGCCCCAGCCAAAATCCGATGATAGCTAAACAAACACATCCAGTACACTAATCACCGCAGCATGGCCTCCGGCTTCGCGAGCATGTACCGTACCGCTTCGCGGGCCACCGGCGAGTCCCAAGCACCATCGGCACCTCCGCGGCGGAACTCCGGGCCGGTGGCATCTTCGCCGCCACCGCGCGTCGCCTCGCCCAGGATGGTCTCGAGGTCCCTGCGCTGGGAGTTGACCCAGCGACGGAGGAACGTGGCGGGGTCCTTGCTCAACGCCGTGTAGAAGGAGTGTTTGGCACGCGAGTGTGTCAGTGCCTGGACGATGAGCGACACTTGGTCGTCCAGAGTGGAAATCTGTCGCAGCCCGGCGGTGTACTGTGGGTTCTGGGTCAGAGCGAGCATCTTAGCGCGGAGCGGGTCTTCCACGGCCACTTGAATGTCGTAGACAGTGGGGGTGGGGTCTTGGTGGAATTCTTCATCGACACGGATGGTGTATGGAAGCTTGATCGGATCAAGGGGACTGGTGTGAGGGCCGATGCTCTCTGGGATCTGCGGGAAGAACATCTGGTCTCGGCCGAAGATCTGTAGACGTTAGTACTAAACTATTTAAAATAATGAACAAGATGAAACATACAGATCGCAAACGATGATCACAGCGAACCAAACGCTTCTCCTCATCCTCTTGCAGACCCATCGCACGAATATAATCCCAAATTCCAAGCACAATTCCGCTGCGTGTTTCCTCCTCGACATCGAGCACCTCCGCCAGCTCCTTGCTCAGCTTATACCGCTCGGGGGTCTCATCTCTGACAAGGCTCACGGTAACATTCAGGTTCTCCTGCGAAGCTCGAGAGAACTGCAAAGAATCGAAATCGGCGGTCGGCGGCAGTGTTACAGTATTAGCCGGAAGCTGTGGCTTGGTCCAGTTAACAGTCTTAATCTCCTCCGGGTTCGCGGTTGAAGACTTGTCGAAATCGACTGTGATCGTTTTGAAAAAGTGCGAAAAGCGCTGCTTCGACCGCTTCGCAGCGTTCTTCTTGGCCTCCTTTCCGTCATGATCCATGGCATCTCCATTCGCCTGCGTCTCGTTGCTCTCGTTGTCGCTGTCCTCAGGGGCCGTAGGATCGGTGTCATCGTCCAGCAGTCGTCCCTCTATGCGCACCTTGTAACGCCCCGAGCCGGGGTTGGTCACTGACCCGTTCTGGCCAGTCGCGCCCTGCCACGGTTGGTTCTCGACTGTGTTTGTAATCCAAATGCGCATCGTCCGGTACTTCTTGACGGTCTTGCTGATCGAATCCTGAATGTCCAATCTCTTCCGAACGATGGCGGCGTCCAATCTCTTCTCTAAGTCGCGCAGGTTCTTGTACTGCTGTACGCCTTCCCCGATCACTACATCTTCGATGCCGTCGGGAATATTCTTGTCGGTGGGCTTGCGGCTCCGGCGAAGAGCAGCATCATTGGGGTGTGGCATGTTGCGCTGGGCGGGGATATACTGAGCAGGAACGGCGTGCTGCGGCATGGGTACAGGCATTGCTTGGCCAGCTGTGCAAAACGAGATTAGGAGCGGTAGATATACGAAATCAAGGGGTGGAGACTACCTGGTCCTTGGGGTCCGCGACGAGGCGTGGCAGGAGACCGTTGGGCGGCCTGCGGGAACCCACGTCCGTAAGTGGGCGGCATTGGAGCATTCATAACTAGTGGCTAGCTAGGCAGAGCAAAGCGAATCCACAAAGGCCCTAGTCGGGTTTAAAAGAGTTCTGGGACGATGAAGTAAAGAACTCTCCGATGGTATTGAAGATGTTCTCTTGGAGTTCTGAAAGTCGCGATTCTTTTGCCGCGATCGCGCTTTACCCGTTTAGGCCATGCCCCGGAACACCAAAGCATCGACATCATTGACCTGTTTTGACTACGATCTACGATTGAAGCTTTCATAACGAAGAAATTCTACGTGTATTAATGTCTCCACCGTCTATCTTGCACCTGGTTTATGTCTGTAATGCTATATCATTTCCCAAACATAACTCAAAAACCCAACAGGAGCGTTTACTCCAGCTGGGATGCCTGATTAGTGTACAACTCTTCCACCACGTTGCTCAACTTCTCGATAGTCTCCAGGGCAGCGTCATATGCTTGATCACGCTCCGTCTCGTCGAATACAATCAAGCACCCAGAGCCCTGATCTAACACTCCGATGATCACCTTATCCAGGATCATCTGCGAGAGCTTCCGCTCCACCTGCGGGGTGTCGAGCCCTACCATCTTGGCAATATGGTCCAGCTCAACCCGGCTGAAGGGCTCAATTACCTTAATCAGATTCTGTTCCAACATGGCATCATACAGTCGGCGGAGGTGGTTCCGAATAAATACGTCGCTACCCAGCTCGAACCGGTAGTCCGAGAGAGCCTTTTCATATTCTTCAAGGGATCGATTGGCGTGAGCGCGGGCCACAGCCTTCATGGCCTCGAGACGCGGGCTAGCATATTTCTGGGCCTGCTTGGAGCCGAGCAAAGTCGTCACATCATCCCCTAGGTTCAGCATAATCTTACACAGTAGCATGTATTGAAGAGCTGCTGTGGCCTTGTCGCTTTCGTCGAGCGAGCTGTATCCCTCCAAAGCTTCAATGAAATAAGAGAAAGCGGTGGTAAAGTCCTTGTCCTCCGCGTGCAGCATACCGCTTTGCATGTCCAAGCCGGCTTGCAGATTCGGAGGGGTATAGACGGAGGCGGCCGATGTGCGAGAAGCTGTCAAGGCAGCGCGGCCCTTGGCCTGGTTACCCAAAGCATGATACACCCGAGACTCTAGCAGCTGGACCTCGACCAGCATAAGTTTATCATCCAATCGCTTCAGCTCGCGTAGGAGGGAGTTGATCAGGTTAAGGGCATCATAGTAGGATTGCTTCTGCATGTAAATGGCCACAAGACGGGTCTGAAGGTTCTGTCGAAGGAACGATCTCCGCTCTGCGATAGCCCAGTCGATGCAGGATTTGATGACGGCGGTTTGAATATCGAGTGTATTAGGGATCTCACTGAACAGGTCCAGTAACTGGCGGACTATATAGAGTCAGTTCCTTAGGACCGGGCAAGTGATGCGTTGCTGCCAACTAGCTTACCAAGCTTTGCTGTCTTAGCTTTTGCGAATGATGAGAATGAGTCCCGGCTAGTCTTAATGAGCTCAGCGATCTCGTTTGGCTTCTTCTCATCCCGATAAAGCTCTCCCAATCCGACCAAGGCACTTTCATAATCACGCGACGAAGCTTCCGTCGATCCTGGACCTTGAGAGAGGATGTCCTTGTAGATGGTCTCGGCCTTGGAAGCGTCCTTCTTCGCGAGAGCCCGAGCTTCCTCTATCCGCTGGGCGGTTGTCGAGGAGGGCGCCATGATTGAACGTCTTTTAATGTGAAAAGGAACGGGGTATTGGAGTTTCGTTATAGAGATAGCTGAGCAGTGAGGGAGACCCGAAGAAACGGGAAAGAAATAGAGGTTTCAAGGTGGAGGGGATGTGAGATGTCTTGCTGATGAGGATAAGTCACCAGAGGTATCGTCACTGCTGGAGACGGTCCAAGCTACAGCCGCCCCTCACCGCCCGCGGGTTGGCGAACCAACCAGAACTAACTAATATTACCCGCCAAAAAAAAAGTATCTGGAAATTTTATGTCCGCCGCCAAAACATTTTCTTCTTTTTTTTCTTCTGCCGTTTAACACAGTAAGAGCGTCATGGTGAGTTCAAATTTCTACATACACTAAGTGAACATGTTACTTATTCAACTTTTAGAAAATTAAAGCTCTTTCTCGCCCCACTGCCTCGCAGCAGGCTCCGGGATCAGCTGTCGTTCGACAGCCCCGAAACCTTGACCCGGCGCAACATCCATTCGAACGTGCTCGAGAATATACCCGAGCTCTCAATGCCACCAAGCTTGAACGTCTTTTCGCTGCGCCCTTCTTGGCTCAGATTGGTGATGGCCACGTGGACGGTGTATACTCCATGGCCAAAGACCCAGGCTCGTTGGAACGTTTCGCCAGTGGCAGTGGTGATGGAGTGGTCAAGGTCTGGGATTTGACGACCCAGGGCGAAGTTTGGAACACAGAAGCCCATGAGAATATTGTCAAGGATGTGTGCTGGACGCCTGATCGGAAGTTGCTTTCTTGCGCGGCCGACAAAACCGTCAAGTTGTTTGATCCGTACAACTCATCGTCCGATTCTCCACCTCTCGCAACGTATCTGGGCCAAGGTGCCTTCACTAGTCTGTCCCACCATAGACATCTTCCTTCCTTTGCTGCGTCGTCGTCATCCCAGATCCAAATCTACGATCTCTCTCGGCCTTCTTCTACGGCCTCCCAGACCCTCAACTGGCCCACCAGTATCGACACCATCACATCGATTGCCTTCAACCAGACAGAGACGTCGATCTTGGCATCGACCGGTATCGACCGCTCTATCATTATGTATGATCTGCGAACTTCGTCCCCGCTCCACAAGCTTGTCCTACGACTTGCATCGAACGCCATCACGTGGAACCCCATGGAAGCCTTCAACTTCGCGGTTGCCAATGAAGATCACAACGCCTACATATTCGACATGAGGAAGATGGACCGCGCATTGAACGTGCTGAAGGACCACGTGGCAGCGGTCATGGATGTTGAATTCAGCCCGACGGGTGAAGAGTTGGTGACGGCTTCATACGACAGGACGATCCGTGTGTGGAACAGAGCCCAAGGTCACTCGCGTGATATTTACCACACGAAGAGAATGCAACGGTATGTATATTTGGCTCACACTGAAGAAAACAATGTTGCTAACAGGATACAGTGTCTTCTCCGTTAAGTTCACACCCGACAACAAATACATTCTGTCCGGGTCGGACGACGGCAACATTCGACTCTGGCGTGCCAATGCCTCCGATCGCAGCGGTATCAAGAGCGCCCGTCAACGGGCCAAGCTGGAGTACGATCAGGCTCTGGTTCAAAGATACTCACACATGCCCCAGATCAGAAGAATCAAGCGCCAGCGTCATGTGCCAAAGCCTATCAAGAAGGCCGGCGAGATCAAGAGAGAGGAGCTCAACGCGATCAAGAGACGCCAAGAGAACATCCGGAAGCACACCAGGAAGGACCAATTGAAGCCAAGACAGAGCGAGCGCCAGAAGATGATCTTGACCTCGGAGCAGTAGGCACCGCGCTTTCTCTGGGGATGGAGATATACCACATCCGGTCATGTGTGGGATTGGTTTGGAGGACAACTTATATACATCATGCAGACTTTTCATTTCCATGGACGTCTGCGTTCAACCCGGCTGCATGTTACATCATTCCGTTTTCGCTGCCTTCGGTTCATCATGCGATTTCTGGCTTGACGTTTGCACTACCGCATGGTCGACTCCGCTCAAGAATCGAGCAATACGCTGTAAGCCTGCAGGCAACACCGCATACCAGTTCACCATCGTGGCGTACGCGGGCAGTCGGATGACACCCCCTCTTCCTTCATCTATCGCAGAAACGATTTCCCGAGCAACTTGGACCGGTTCGAGAACGGGGGCGATGAACTTGTTTGGTGTCTTGACCGATGAAAATAGTGGTGTCGCCACCTGTCCTGGCTCAACCAAGATCATCTTCACCTTCTCATCATCCCCCGACACACGAAGCTCCGCCTCTAACGTCCGATGAAGCGCACTCAGGCCGGCCTTGCTGGTCGAGTAATCCGCCAGACCCGCCGGACACAATTGGCCCAAGACCGAACTGACATTCACGATCGTACCGCCATTCGGAGCAGCCAGCATGCGAGGCAGGAACGTCTGGCACGTATGGAACACCGCGAACAGGTTGGTCTTGATGGTTTTCTGGAACGCCTCGGCGGAGAGCGACAAAAGCGGTTGACCGTTGATGCGCGCCGCAGCACAGTTAATAAGAACTGTCGGGGTACCTAACTATCGGGGAATCAGTATCATGTATGTAAATAGGAACGAATACAAAAAAAAAAAAAAAAAATCCGATAAGCATCTTGACCCAAGTAAAACACAAACAAAACAAGAAAAAGGAAAAGGAAAAGGGAAACAAACCTCCTCTTCAATCCTCTTAAGCACACCCTCCAACACCTCCCTCCTCCCAACATCACAGGTATAATACTGCACCCCCTCACAAATCTCCACCTCCCTCTCATCCTTCAAATCCAAAACCGCAACACCAACCCCCCTCATCGCATAAAACTCAGCAATCAACAACCCCAACCCACTCGCGCCCCCAGTAATAACCACCACCTCCTCACTCAACTCCACCGTCCTCGGCAACCCATACGCAACCCGCGCATTCACCACTCCCGCCATCGCAACCACCGTCAACAAAACCGCATACCCGGTCGCGAGGATAAACGCCAGATCAGTGGTTGGTGTCACCTGGGCGCGCAGACTGAGAACCAGAATCCAGGCCGGCCAGGGGTGCAGGATTGTGCGACGTAGCACGCTGAGGATGAGGTCGAGGGTTAGTGCGGAGTACCATTTCGGGGTTTGTGTTGGGGTGGTGGTGGTGGTGGTGTGTGGGGAAGAGGCGGTGGTGAGGATGCGTTTGGGTTGGGAGGGTGGCGTGTTTGAGGGCATTGTTGGTTATATTGGGTTTTGGTTGTTAAGTAGTTAGTTCATTAGGGGGGTTGGGGGCATTGTTGGTGTTGGTGTTGGTGTTTGTGCTGGTGGTTTCACTGTTTTGGTCTCTTGATAAACAAGGTGTGGTTCTTGCGATAAGGTGGTTTGGGATGGCGCTAGGCTGTTTATGGGGGGGGAGGGGATTCAGGTACCGCGGTTGTGTAGGGCATGTTCTGTATGTGCAATCCTTAAAAGGTCCTAGGTAGAGGGGAGAAGAGGGTTGAGAATGGTAACTTTTTGGGCTATGGGGTATTTGGATCATTCTATTAGTTTAGTTCTCCTTGTAGAACCCGATGGTGTTCGGATTTAGATCAGACAACGCTATTTATATACATTAAATCTAGCACCTCCTGTTGGCAGAGATAGAGACATTGCCATTGTCCACAGCCTGAACCTACGAGTTCTATCAGACCACCCTTTTAATGTTTTAGGGCAGACCCATTCATCCCATATATTCCAAGCAATTGTGTAATGTATCACAACTGTATAAGCGTCCAGAAGCAATGGAAAAGGCCCACTACACATGCTGTGAAACCTACTACATATCTCCGGTTCACAAGGACCTCAATTTTAATCCTACGACCTCCTATATTTGGGATAATCGCTCTTACTGTTTCAGACTAAGCCTTGGTCCCTATTCATTGGCTCTAGATTTATGCTGTGTAGTACTACATACCGCCATGTCTTCCCCTTGCTGACAGGGCACCCGAGCTTCCAGAAAGGTTCTGGGTTATGTTTCAAATTTGTTCTAAATTCTGTTTCTTAATAGGTTGATTTGACTGTAAGCTGTGCAATGAGTACAAGACTATGTATGATCCATTGTTTTGTCAATATTCAGAGTGTGCCTCTTTTACTTCGGTACTGGACAACTTGTCCAACGATGCTCTGTGTTTCTAGATCATGTCACTCGGGGGTTTAGAAGTAAGCTGTGCGACAATGACATGCGAACGATCTTGTGGATCTCCCGGAACATATACTTCTCGGATATAATATTGGGTGATCAATAAGCCTGCATATGCTGCACTAGATGCTGGGATGGCATTCATATCACAATAGTGTGCTGAGTGCTTGTGTTAGAATAGAGGGCTCAGTTGGTTTGGGGGAGTTGGATGAGTGTGTTTGTATTTGGGGAGAATGGGAATAATGTGATTGTTATGGTTAGGGGATAGGAACTGGGGTCGGTCTTTTTTCTTTAATACTCATTCTTATACGCTTATTGTTGCTTCGCCTCATGCTTTATTGTTGCATTAGAAGGTGGACTGCTGTGGTAGGCCGCACCGGGCACTTGTTACTATTTGGGCCGAAGAGGTCCGCTTGCACTATTAACATACGGAGTAGCAAATTAATTGTGCTCAGAGTTGGCCCTAAGACTGGGTATTTATACGTCATAAGTTGTCCACAGCCAAAGGAGGTAGGCGATTGAATGCTTACCCAGATACGACGCTTAGCACTTGGTCTGGCTCTCTTATTAATTGATTTTATTAGAATTTCGGCATAACTGTCCTGAATATAGAAGAGGAAGTCTTCCAAACCTTGGAGAAGAGTAGTCTCATAAATTCGTTCGTTCTATTGTATGCTAAGACCCGATCAAAAGAGATGACATCGAATCACATCATCAATCCTCCAGCTTTAGCATTTCTTTATACCTCTCACCCATACAAGGGGCAAGCAGTGTTTTTTCAAATCCATCCAACTTCCCCAAGACTCGTCCGTTCTCGAAAGCTCTTGCAAAGTCTCCGTAAAGTACTGTGTCTGAGTTCAAACGATGCGACTGGGCGAGCCATGAAGCATCCGTAGTCATATCCCAGAAAGTGGTCCCAGATGTGAAGGGTAGGACACTCAATGCGCGAATAATCGTACAATGTCCCGTTTTCAGTACTGAATACAAACCTTCAATCAGTATGGAAATGATAATAGTTCTCCGAATACTCTCCGTAAAGACCCATTCCTGCCATGTTGGCGTGGGGCCTAGTTCACTGGTGCGAACTTGTAACTGCATGGTCCAGGCTCGTAAGGTGTCCATATTCTGCTCCGCTATTGAGCGTTGTCGGATGTCACCGTCGAAAAGCTGAATAATGTGGAATATTATTAAGGCCTGCACTGCCGCGAGAAGCTCTTCGAGAGTGTTCTCTTGATGATTCTGTTTCACAAGATTTGCAGTTTTGGCTTCCAGAATACGTAATATCGTATCTTCAGTCTCTGCTGTTTTAGTATAGTAGGAAGCCGACACGGTGAAGGCATCTTGAATTGCTTCTGGGAGGTATACTTCGTATAAGCGATGATGAATAAATGGAGTCCTCCGGGAGCGAGCAAACATCCGCGGGTAGCTCTTGATGCTTTGTAGAAGCTGCTTCGTTGACCACTTGTCGATAACAGAGGTCTCTGGGAAATAGCCAGCTGGGAGCAATGTTGGGATGGCAGATAAAGAAGGGCTAGGAGTAAGCCACGAGGTGACCAATTCAGTATCACTGAATAGAGTGAAGTCATCTGGCGGAAAGACCGCAAGAATATCATCCAGCGAGGGTGATGATGGTGGCTCGATTGGTAGAATATTGGGAGACTGCAGTCTTTGCTGTTGGCGCTGACCTCGGATGTACATGCATTCCAGCCCACGGGCAAGACACCGTGAGCACTGCGGAGTTTGGCGGTCGCAGCGTCGCTTCCCTCCAGCGCATGCGACGCATGACTTCTGTCGAGAACGATTGTAAGGTACTGTGCGGGGCATTTCTTCGAATTATGGGGTAGTTGTGAGGTTGAAAAGAAGGATGACGCATGAGACCACGGTTGAGGGCAAAAACTCCGCAGCAAAGTCCGCAGCCCCCACCATCAAGTCCGCAGGGCTGTCCATTGATATTGGAAGATTCACTCCGCAGACTTATGGAGTCATACATTGATTTAGTCAAATCCGCAGGAAACATGGTATCTTGTCTTGAAATATGTGATGTGGTGAAAACACATAAAAGGGCATTGTCGTCCTGAGTCTTTGACGGATCCGTGTCCTGTCAACAAGAAAGCGTCTCGTCCACTACAATGGCCATCACTGAACTCATTTTCCCATCGATCAAGACTGACCCAGACTCGCTCAGAGAAATCGAGCAAGACTGGCCGATAATCAGCAAGAGATTGACACACCCTAATCCTGGCTTGCTGAATGCCTATCGCGGCTTTCTCCTCACTGAGAATGGGGTCGATGTGAGAAATGCTCACAGAGAGTTCCTTCTATTTGGTATGTATCCTTGGCTTATCACCTGGAAAGGTTCCTGACATGATTTTGGTATAGAGTGGGTTAAAGCGGAAGATTTCTATGCCTTCATTAAGTCCGACCAATTTGGCAACTTTGCTGCTTCGATCAAGCATCTGGTGAATGGGCCGCCGATGCTACAACTCTTTGCAACCAACATTAGCCCGAGAGAGGCAGCTTCGGCCTCCGTTGTTGAAATCATTAGGTTGGGTATCTCAGATCCTGAGAACGCTGAGATATCCACACAAGTATGGGAACGGATCTCTCGCTTTCTTAGTGGGAAGAAGGCTTCCGTCACCTACGGAAGAAGCTCCAATCTTGAGAACGAGGTTGTTGCCGGCATCATAGGATGGCATAGTCTAGAGGTAAGGCCAAAGACCCTGTTCTTTCTTGTGATCTATTACGGGGCATCACTTTGCTTACATTGAACAGACTCGATCTCAGGTAATCCAAGAGGCCGAGTACACCGAAGCGTTGAACTCACTCCAGTCCCTGGGAGACGTCAACCAAATTACCGTCGACATTGCTGCAATGGAACTGCCACCTCTTTAAACCGTATCGTATGAGGTCGCGTGGAAACTGGTTCATGTATTGGCAGCTGTTAATCATCTTCTATGTCATCACTCTTGTTTTATCTCCACTCCAAATCGGGTTGAATAAATGAATCAATAGAAACGTATATCATCATTGGGAGTTTTAGCTCGTACCAAATCTAAACATCAACTTCGTCTTACGAAACTTGTTATCACGAGATTGAGCTTTAGAACTGGTTTGATATAATACAACCTACAGAAACTCTCCTTGCGGATCGCGGAGCAAGTCCCAGGGTGTACACTTCCTTCCTTGTTGAGAATGAGATTGAGATTCGCCTAGTTTTAGCTTCCAATGCTGAACTTGCGGAAGACCGCGCCTTCCTTTCAGATTGTGTCTTGTCTCTTCTCTTGCCTGGCCACTGAACTGGATTTCCCCCGTCAATTGATTCCTTGACCGGTTTCTATTCTTTCACACACACATCACCCCAATCATTACAGAACCATCACATATCTTCTCTATCGTTAACATTCATAACTTATCACGGTCAGTTATCTTTTACTCACTGCAACGCACGGTACTTTTGCAGCTGCCCCAGGCTGATTCAGTTGACTCCACACCACCCAAAGATCTCATCTCTACAAATCCCGCAAGATGGCTTCACAGCCTTGGAAGGGCAAGCAGCCAGATCAAGGGCCATCACAGTCTCAAAGGCTCGAAGGAACATTTGACCCTTCTGAGCAGCCAGAGCGAGAACCACAACAGCCTCAGATGCCCAGTCTTTGGCAGCCCGACCAAGGGCCTTCACAGTCTCAGAAGGGCAAAGGCCTTTGGCAGCCCGACCAAGAGCCTTCACAGTCTCGGAAGGGCAAGGGCCTTTGGCAGCCAGATCAAGGACCTTCACAGCCTCAAGGACCCACGGAAACACTTGACCCTCCTGAGCAGCCGGAGCAAGAACCTCCACATCCTGAACAAGAACTTCCACAGCCTGAAGGGCCCATAGAAGCACTTGACAAAGTCCAGCGGATGACCACATGGCTAGGTACCGAGAGATGGACCCGGCCACTTCAAGGCAGGAACCAAAGCATGCCGTCTGCTCTTAAAGCAACTCGTAACATTGACCGACTCTGCACAAGATGCGCAACCTTTCCCTGGGAAACTATCTGGAAGCAAATGCGCCGTGGGAAACTCAGTTGGGCGACGAGTCAACCACGCCCACTCAGTACAATGTATAACCATCTCAGGTCGGCTTATGAAGGTTGTCATCTATGCGCTTTGATATGCGTCGCTATGTTTAGCCGTGGAGAGAGGAGGGTGCACATACCCAGATGGCAGGAATATCATCTGAGTGTCGACGCAACGAGCGCCGAATGGGACAGCAGAATCCAGCCAGCGCCAAGGAGATGGAGCCGTGATGATTTAGATGTAGCCACCCGCGTATCCCACCGTATGGAATCTGGAAAAGGGGTGCTTTTGATCGAAGTCCCAGAATGCGAACCCGCTAAGCTTTCGGTCTCATTTGCGCAACGCGTGGAGCCATCTCTTTCATCCACTGTTCGCTCTGGCGGGCGTACGAGTGGCTTAGCCAGGCATTGGATGAAGATATGTGATGAATCACACCTGTCCTGCAAACTGACTGCTTCCGTACTCCCAACCAGGGTCATCCAACTCCAGATAGTATACGAAGAGTTGAGAGCCAGGCTACTCATTACAAACGGGGAAGAGGACCAATACGCCGCTCTCAGTCATCACTGGCCTTCTTCGACCTCATTGACAGTTACCACAGGTAACTTGGAACAATTAAAGCAGGGGATCAATCTTTCCGAGTTATCACGCACCTTTCGGGACGCATTTGAAATCGCCGCCGGGGTAGGACTCCAGTATATCTGGATTGACGCCCTTTGTATCCTCCAGGATGACGCTCACGACTGGGCCAGGGAATCTGCCAAGATGGGCGATGTTTACCGGCACGCCCATATCACGATCAACGCCTTTGCGTCGGCAGATGACAATGGACAATGCACCACGGCATACGTACCTACTGCATTGGTGGATTATGCATGCCGGGTCGGGGAAGAAGTGTATGTCCATGAGGAGGATGGTGGACTCGCTAACGTCTACGAGGTTGAGGGTGTCATTCAGACACGGGGATGGGTTTTCCAGGAAGAGCAGCTTTCCCCACGACGTCTGTACTGTGGAAAACACCATCTGGTCTGGAAGTGTGCGGAAATGTGGGCGAGAAACGACAGGCCATGTGGATTTTCCGGGGAAGTCTTTGATAAACCCTTCATGTCTACCTACCCATGTTCGAATTGGAAGTTCGCGTATCGCCAATGGCGCCAGATGGTGCAAGACTATACCAGGCGCAACCTGACCGATCCTGCCAAGGACAAGCTTCCAGCCATATCTGGTTTGGCCGCGGTCTTTGAACAACACTTTCCAGGTCATCGTATTGGAGATTACCTCGGCGGAATATGGCGAGGCGATCTATACCGTAGCCTCCTCTGGTACCGTGCCGGTAACGCTATCGACCGAGATCGACGCATTGATGGGCCATCTTGGTCTTGGGCTTCGTGGGACGGTCCGATTGATTTTGTCTTGGAAGACGACAATGCCGGTTGGCCGACGAGGATGACATGGCCACCTCAAAAGAAATACCCATGCAAGGTGCGAGAGGCAACAACGACCTTGACGGATCCGGAAAACAAGTATGGTCGAGTATCATCGGGCAGAATGACCATCAAAGGAAAGGTGCTCATGAACGCGGGGAGGTTGGGCGAACAATCCGGAAACACAAGGCCAGCGGATCCAGAGATCCATCTGGACTATGACGATACCTTTCCAGAGGATAGCGTTTTACTCCCCATCACCCATCGATCGGGGCTACTGCTGAGGGTGGTTCCGTGGAGTGCCCATGAGGCGATACCGGTCTATCGGCGGATCGGATTGTGTATACGCCCAGCAAACAATGACGATTTTTACTGGATGCGTGGCGCTCGGTGGGAAACCCACGAACTGACTCTGGAATAGCTTCCTTCACTTCACCAAGAGGGGGATGGAGAAGATAAGGAGCAGGAAACGGATTCAATCAGTCAAGAACCGGAGATCTCCGCCGCCGGATTTCTTTCCCGTATTTAATGTACTAAAGTAGTAGTAGTAGTAGTAGTAGTAGTCGTCGTCGTCGTCGACTAGCAAATGACACTATGCTATTATTCATATCATTTGGTTTTTATACTGCTTCCCCACCGTTCCTTAATGTATAGAAGCAAAGGCTAACGCACTGCTTGCTGTCTCGATCGACCGTCCACCCACTTTGATTTTATTTATCTACTAAGAAAATGCCACCACCGCAACTCTCCCCCGCAATCCAAACCATCTCCAACGTCCGTTTACACTCGCACAGTCCAAATCCAACCACATACGACCTCACCCTCTCCAACGAACAAACCGTCAGCTCCATAGCTCCCCACCTTCATACTACCACCTCCCCAAACAAATCCCACCCGCCTCTCACCCTTCCAGCCCTAACTCACCCCCACATCCACCTGGACAAAGCCTACATCTACAACTCCACTCCCATCCACCCCCAAACCGGCTCTTTCCAAGAAGCCCTCACCCTAACAACCCAAGCCAAATCCACCTTCACCGAACCCGACCTCCACCGCCGTGGCGAATGGCTCTTATCCGAATCCATCCTCAACGGCGTCACAGCCCTGCGTGCCTTCATCGAAATCGACACTACCGTCCACCATAAATGCCTCACCACCGCAATCCACCTCAAACACTCATGGCGCAACCACTGCCACATCCAACTCGTGGCCTTCGCCCAAGACCCTCTTTTCTCGGGCCCCCAGGCCCAAGAAAATCGAGATCTCATGCACTCCGCCTTCACGGACCACGGAGACGAGATCGACGTCATCGGCGTCACGCCTTACGTGGAAGCTGATCTCGAAACTGCAAAAAGAAACATTCAATGGGCCATCACCACCGCTTGGCAATTAGACAAACATGTCGATTTCCATCTGGACTATCATCTCGATCCGAATAAGGGTCCGTTGGTTTGGTACGTGCTTGATTGTTTACGGGCCGTGGGATGGACGAAATCCCGGACCAAGAAAAGGGTTATGCTGGGTCATTGTACCCGGTTTACCCTTTTTGGGGGAGATGACTGGGATCGATTGAGAAAGGAAATTGGGTCTGGTGACCTTGCTTTACCTGTTAGTTTTGTCGGTTTGCCGACTAGTGATTTGTATATGGCTTCGCCTCCTCCCCCTTCTTCTTCTTCTTCTTCTTCTTCTTCTGGTTGTGGATCTTGTTCTGATCCGAAGGAGAATGGTGGAGTGAGAGATACAGTCCGTGGCACATTAAAAGTACCCGAGCTGATCAGACGATACGGACTCGACGTCGTCCTTAGTGTTAACAATGTAGGCAACGCATTCACACCCTGGGGATCCGTTGATCCGGTAGCATTAGCTTGTTTGGGTGTTGGTGTTTATCAAGCTGGGACAGTGGAAGATGCGGAGTTGTTGTATGAGTGTGTCTCGACGCGTGCTAGGGCTGCTATTGGGTTAGAGGAGGAAACTGGGGTATGTGTTGGTGAGGGGAGGAGGGCGGATTTATTGTTGTTTTTTGATGTGGATGAGTCTGGTTGTGGGGTTGTTAGGCCCAGGAGGAGTGTGGCGGAGGTTGTTTGGGATCCGCCGAGTAGGATGTCCAGGGCTGTGGTTTCTGGGGGGAGGTTGGTGCGTGCGAGGGGGGGTTTGTGGGATGAGGGGGGTTTGGGGTTTGTGTAGTTGTGTTTGTTAGTGTTGTGTGTTGGGTGTTGTGTGTTGGGTGTTGTGTGTGTGTGTGTGTGTGTATGTGTGTATGTGTATGTGTATGTGTATGTGGAGGAGTTCTAGCCGAGGTAGATTTAATAAGTCTGATAGTGGGGAATGTTGATTATAAACTTGATGTTCACGGTGTGAAGCTTTGTATAATTATCATCTTTCTAGTAGGCAAAAAAAAAAAAAAAA